CCGCGGTGATGTCTCTTTTTCTCCCTCACGTGAGTATTGTTCAGTGGCGAGCTGAAGTACAAGTCTGTTTCTCTGTTCTTTCTGACATCTTTACCCTGCCTATGGCACTCAGCACAAAGTTAACAAATATAAGTTTTAAATCCACTCTCCGCTCTCCTTGTAGCTCTGTTTTGGTCTCCACCGACTCCTGATGAATGTCTGTCTCAATAATGGCGGTACCGTCGTTCAGAGGATGACGGATGGCGCTGAAAGCAATATTTGGGAAAGGGGGGAGCTGAGGTGCTCTTTTGGGGGTGTTTGTCGAGGTGAAATTTTTAAGGTGAGTTTTCACCAAAGAGTCACAACAATGCAAGTTTAAACTTGCAAAAAACTGTGGTCTGCAACATTATAACCCACACGGTACTGCGACTGGGTGAGACAGCTTGTATCATAACTCTTCTTCACTTCAGTGTTTCTGTCAGACACTTAATTAGGCGCAGCTCCGTGCTGCCTTTAAAGGAACAGGAAGTCAGAGTATCATCTGTGAAAATGGACCCTCTCTTTCTTGGACCCTTTCTCTTAAAAGCAGCCTTTTCTCTGAGGAATACACCGTGAATGCCTTGTTATCGCAGTGTTTACACATTTACAAGGGGAATATTCAGACTTCCCCTGAAAGCAACTTTGCGTCCAGCATCCAGCACCTGATGCGACACCAGCAAGTGCCCTGATAAGTGGAGGCACAGCCAGTTTGTGTTCAAGCGGTAACATGACATGCAGAGTTTTAATCTAAAACATTAAAAACTGAGGCACATACTTGCTCTGTTTGGGTCTGTGAGCTGCACTTTATCAGAGGTGCTGAAGTTAACATGTAGGTTAGTTTTGTTCTGGTGAAAAGGTGCCACAATCACATTTAAAGAGGTAATTAAAAGCAATAACGAAAGCCTGAGAGCCTTACTGCATTATATTCTATTCTATTTTTATATTTTAAATTGTCATCTGCCACCTGAATTTTGTGTTTCCTTTTATATAAATAAACTAATTTCCACCAGAATGCAGGAAATTAAGTCTTTAATTCTCAAAATCTTCTTAGGGAGGACCAGCACACCACCACTTATTAAGTGCCATATCCAAGAAAACAGTATCTGGGTTCACACACAGTTTCTGGGAGGAACATTTATTTATTAATTAAATAATAATTATTCTTTGCGACACGACCCCAGATAAGTGGTTGAAGATGGATGGATGGATAATTACTATTCACGTGGCTTTTTTGTTCCCTGGGAAAGTAAAAAAAAAAATACTGTCATTCAATTATGTACTTTTTCATGTTTTTAAAAAACTATAGTAAAAACAACAATAGTAATATTAATCAACAATATTCAGGGTACGTCATTTTTGATGGGGGGCAGTAAGGGACCTGGATAATGAATGGACGGTGCTGGTCCAAAAAACGCTGTGCTAAAGTCTCCACTTTGTTCACCAGGTGTTTGCTAACTTTGTCTCTCGGCTGTTTGGTGCTGTACAGTTTGTTTGACCTTCTTTGCTAAATGAGGTTGATGAAGCTTAAAAACACTACACATAAAAGTGACCAACAGTGAGCAGAAAGATGCTATAACACTCCACAGAGCAGCATAGTCTGATGATTATCTAGAGTACGGTCTAGACCTGCTTTTTTATGAAAAGCGCTGTGAGATAACTGTTGTTGTGATTTGGCGCTATATAAATAAAATTGAATTGAATTGAATTGATTTGAATTATTCTCTGTGGCTTAATCACTATGAGCCACCTATTTCATTATACACACTTATATTATCCAATTTGACTATACAGATTGGTTCAGCTTTAAAGATACTATATGGTATGCCTAAATGCAAAGGGACTTAATCTGGCAAGGTTTTTTAAAAAAAAAAACCAATAATACAATTTTATAAAAAAACAGTTATTCTGAGCTGCAGTGAGGATATGTCTGTCCCGACCTCTGGCCCTCTGGCCTGGTCTGAAAATGACTTCACATTCAGGAAACTACACGCTGACAATTTGAATCCATCTTCCTCTAGTGTGGATTTGACGTTTCTTCCTCTTGTACTCCCTGTGGGCAACCTCTCTATCTATTTCTCATCCTCGTTCCCTCTCACCTTTGCCTCACTCGCTCGCTCACATTGACACGTGTGTCGCCTCCTGAACAATGTAAAAATAACATTACTGAACCTGCAGGATAACAGCAGGGCCAAGTTTAATGTATTTGTTATGTAACTGTACATTTGGCATGATATTGCAGAATCCAAACTTTGTGGGTCAAACACGGTACATAAACAAGTCTCTCTCAGCACTGAAGGTAGCAGCTTTGTGTGACCTAATCATCAGGCGACAGAAATCCTTTCCTTCCAGTGCAGTTGTATTTTCTCAACCTAAGACCATCAAAGAGCTGCTGCGGCCCGGAGCAGAGGGCATCTGAAAAACTGATGCTGCTGGCATGGCACATTCATAACACTGTAAACTGTCAGAATTGCACAAAAAATGACCTTATATGTGTACTCCATGAGAGAATGCATGTAAGTGTGTAAGAGTGAGAGTGTGAGAGAGTTAGGAACTGTCAAAACATCTATTTATCAAAGAACCCATGAGCTCTCAGTTATATTTTCCTCTCGTTTTCTCACATTACAGATATACTTTCTGAGGCACCTTGCGCATCAGTCACATTGTAAATAGTTAAAGAGCGGTTGCTATTGGTTGCTGTAATTGTTGCTTGTTTCCATACAGGAAAGAGAGATCCTTTCCTAAATTCAGCCAAGATTAAAGCTACTCAATATTTTAGTTTTAACAGCAGATTTGTTAAGTCTGAATAATGTGTAAGGTGTCACTTGTAGTTACAAACCCACAGAAAATGATTACCTACTCTGCATCTCAGCACAACTCAGCTCTATGTATTGTTTCAGTGTCTTTCAGCTTGTTGTTTGGTTTTGCGGCTGCCGTCAGCCATGTTTCCAGCACTAAACTGCAGACAGACAAAGTTAGCGACTGACTGGTGAACACAGTGGAGCATTTAGCTGCTAGAGCCACGTATTTATCTCAGAAGTGGAACCTTAACAGAGTTAAAAGGAGATTACTGGACTTTCATTTGGTGGTAGAGCGCAAAATAATTGCTAATGTTGCTCTGTGTCTGCTGAATGTGTTTATAGGTAACTGTGAATTTCGTCCCCCATCCTTTACAGTGAAGTCAACGGGATTTATTCACAGCCAGTATAGGGAATTTGGATAGCAGTAACAACAACCTATTTCATACATAGCATGTGAGTATTGTGTTGAAATATATATATGATATTTTTTTATCCTATTCTTAAACATCATCTCATTGTCATTTTAAAGTCCCTTTTTGCCTTAAGATGAAGTATACAGTAAATTTATACTTTAGCAAAGTTACTGAAAATGTTGTCTTCAGCAGTGCAAACAAACCATCAGACATACGTACTTTTCCCATTTCTGAAACCACTGAAAACATAAGCAGGCCCACAGCAATAAAGTGCAATAAAGAATCATTTTCAGTGCGTCATTATCGAGCTCAGAACATACCCAGTCTACAGTGGCACTTAGTGCGCCAAGGAACTCAAACCTCCCACATGCAGTTCCTTCAGTGACTTACTCATTCAGCTTGCTCTAACATCAAAGGGAAAATGTGCCATTTCTATATGAATTTTGTTTTTCCGAAACATTTAGAAATTTGAAATTACTACAATAATATAAAAATTATTTAAAAGCAACAATCTGCATCTCTGACTGTATTCCTATGAAATAAATGGACGAGAGTGAACTGAACTGTCATCTTCACCCTCACATGTAACAGTGTAGTTATTTCCCCCTGTAGGCTTATGCAACATTAAAAACAGCAGTAAAACAAAAACTGATAAGAACAAAACATCATCCAGCTTGTTTCACCTTCCTTGCCATTAAGCATAAGATGCATACCTTATGAAACCATAAAGTGCCACAAAGCTGAGCTCCAGCTCTAAATGCTTTCAATCAAACATTTCATGTGCAGGTGCTCAGAGTGAAAAAATGTCATCAAGTTAGGAGGGGATATTTTTGGCATTTTGAACCAATTAAATGAAGCACTATGGACTGGGTTTATGTAATCTAGATGTTATAACACAAGCCTGTCAGGACGGAGGAGACTCACGTCTCACGCTGATTTTACACAGAAGGAGTCATTTCTCTCAAAACTCTAATCCAATTCTCCTAGCTCTTTTCTCAGGACTTGAAAGACAATCCATCTGCTCCTCCTGGCCGACGTTCAATCACACCGCCTTCTGTTGTGTGGGCCGGAGGTGAGTTAAATGTTTCTACCACTTCACCGACAGCCGGGGGAGTCGGGGACACGGTGGCATCTCACTGCTATAAAGATCACGGCTGGAGTCCTAATTCATCACCCCAGGCAGCATCATGTGGCATTACAATATGCTAATGTAGCGACGCCGTGCCCCCACTGTCACCTCGGTCTCTTTCTTTCATCTTTCTCCCTCTTCCTTCCACCTCCCTCTCCTCTTCCTCCCCTTGGGGTCTAGGCTCCCCCTTTTGGGATTTGCTGCCAATGTGTGGAGAGGGCTGAAAGTGATGTCAGAGCTGATGTTGGAATTAGGTGAGCGCTCTGTGTAGATGTCAGGCTGCAACGGACGAACACGTAATTAGCCTGTGATGTCAGCTTTATAACAGGATCCCATTTAATAAACACAGGTTCCCCCTCAACTGGAACACCACCGCCTCCCATCACCTCAGATGGGATAAAAATAGGAATACAACAGGAGTCGCTTTGTGGTGGAAATGTGTGCATTTGGGTTTTCACAGAGATACAGTACAATAATGTGTACAATACAAAAGCTAGCTAGGTAAAGCTAGCTAGGTAAATCTGACAGCTGTACTCTTCATCATGTTGGCACCAGCAGTTTAATTAGAAAATGGATTTGAAATTGCTGCTATATAAAAACGTTGTTCTCTGATAAAGTCCTCAGTGGGTGTTCTGTTCTTACCCCATGTGATGGATACGTTAGCCAGCCCCAGTCTCCTGTGATTGTTGTCGTGTCCAGTAGATTCACTGCAGAGGAAGAACAAAACAACAGAGCAGGTAAGTGATGAACTTTAAATGATTGTTTTTCCCATCCTCCCCCATCCGTCCTCTGTGTGTCACCCACACACACACACACACACCTGTCTGACAGGTGTGACTGATGAGGCGGGACGGTCGTCACGGCAACTCTGAGCTGTGTGCCACAATGTGTGTTGCCACCTTGACCTGGTCCACCCTCTGAGTTCCCGGAGCTGGGACCTCAGTGGTCCAAGCTCAGAATAGAACAGGAAACAAAACGTTTACTGTTAAATGTGCAGCGTAAACGGACCAGAATCTCAGTGGCGCCGTCTGGAAGTCAGAGGACAAGACTAAATTTCACTGAAGTCATGTTCAAGTCATGTAGACACCTCTTGGACTGTATTTGCGCTGCCTCTCACCACCTGCATCTGTTTGCGCCCACACACACACACACACACACACACACATCTTTCCATAGACTTGTTTGCAATCTTGCTGCATCTAAAATTCACTTCACATTCTGTCTGAACACACCTTCAGATCTGAGTGGCAGAATATTACCAGAGGGATGGGCAGATGAGGAAAAGTTTTTTTAACTACAGCTAATTCTACCCACTGGCAGTGTCCATATCTTCAGCTGAAGCCTGTGTAAGTGTGTGAGTGTGTGTGTGTGTGTGTGTGGGTCTCTCCCCTTCAACACTTCCAGCTAATATGATCTCTGCCCCGGGGCTACTTGTCAAGCAGCCAAGCGATGTTCCTCATATTAGAATGAGTATAACAAAACACTTCACACTTGTTAGCTTTCTGTCTCTCATCCTTCATCTTTCTGTCTGACACTTGCTCTCTTCCTATCTCTCCTGCACGTTACAATATGCAACACTTTTGCCTTCAAGCAGGAAGTGAACTGCAAGGTCTGACCTCCTCCCCCACAGCTGGCCAAGTTCACATCCGTATACTTTTTATTCATACTGATGAGTTTACAAATGAGCCTACACACTTAGGGATTATCTCTGTGGTTACTTAGAAAATGTTATCAAAGTGAAATACTTGATGTTAGATTTTCAAAATATTCACTGTTTTGTTTCTTTGTCCTCTGGCAAAAAGGAGCATATAAGAAAACAGTGCCACCTAAAATCTAAATTCATGTTAACAAGAACCGCCAACACAGTTTGACTCTTCCCATAACGAAGGTATAACATTTAAGCTAAGCCTGCTAAGCTAACGTTTGATCTCACGAAGACGGCAACATTAACCTTAGCAAACTGTCCATAAGTAAACTCTTACTTAAATCTAACACTAGGTTACATTTCTGCATTGCTGTTTGCCATTTTGGCAATGGCGGCATGTTGAGGCTGCTTTAACATTAAATAAAGATTTAATTTTAAAATAAGACTGGTTGCACTGTGGGACACAGTATGCGAGGTAGACTGGTCTGATGCAAACTGGAGATTTTTTTTGAATCAATACAACATCCGGGTATTTTTGGCATACTGCAGATTTTGCTTTTGTTTGCATACTATACTACATTTAGGCCAAATCAGCATGCTAGCTGCTAGTATATTAGGCGTTTATTTAGCTTTTATTCCACCTGTTAGGGTTAGACAACAAACACCTGTATGATTCTTTTAAAGCTGCATTAATACATGTTGGCCACTAGGAAATAGAAGATCTACAGAACAGGCAAAGAGATAATAAAGCTGCCATTTTACTGCTTCAAGTAATGGGCTGACGAGCAAGCAGCTGCCTATTTACACATCCAGGAGACACAAAGCATCTTTCAATTAATAAGTTTCTCGCCACTTGATGAAATCCAGTGTCCATTCTTCTGTTTTGGTCTGGCCAAGTGTAAAGTGGGTTTATCAGAGGTTCTGCTGGAAACAAGGTGGATGAGAGGTGCAAGAGGCTGAACCACACAGTAAATAAGGCATAAAACCACAACAATGAAACAAAAACTTCTACAGTGCAGGGCTATACTAAGACACAGCTAATGTAATAATGCCATGGAGTTGAATGCACTTAAAGTAGGGGACTTTACAAACTCCTAGCCAAGCTCTGCCCATCTTCAACCTGAAAAAAGATCTAATTAAACCAGAATCATTGAAATCATCTGTGTGGGCTTTAACACAAATGATGTCCAAAACAATGTACAGATTTTACAGATCACTTTATTAAAACTAGACCAGGCAGTCTGGCTATTTGGTTGCTAAAAAAAAGCAGGAGTCAGCCATTCTGAAAACAACAAACTTTGATAGCAAGAACTTTTGTGACCTGACAGTAGACACACAGGGTGCTCACATTTACCAACCTGTACAGAAGCACGCCAAAGAGATGAGCTAAACAGTGCTTGGCTGCTGCTGTTGTTGAGAGTTTTGTGTTATGATCTGAAGTGTCACTTCCAGTGGGTCAAGAAGTGTTTACACCCACAATTCATGGAGGCAAATAGGATGAGAGTAAAGCATGGTCATGGAGACAGAGCACTCTTGTCTGCTGCAGCTCCACTTCCCGATTTAGGCTGGTAAGACGGGAGTATTTTTCCATAAAAATCTTGCCAAGTGCTGATGATGATCTCCTGATTGCTCTCTATCTCTCTCTCTCCCACACACACAGACACTCACGTGTTTCAATTAGCTGGTGTGTCACTCCTCCTAATTTGAGCACTGGGCCGCTGAGGAGGCCAGTGGGTCAGAACACATAGACAGATGGCAGTGCCACCTTCCTCTCATCCCTCCCCCATCTACCAGCCTTCTCTTTGCCTCTCCCTCCCTTAGGGCGCCGCTGTCCCGCCGTCTCGTATTGATGATGCCATGGCCCCTCGCACTCTAGCCAAGGTCACAAATGGATGCCGCCAATTACACTCCTCTGAGTGCTCTTCATCGGCCCACCAAAGTGACATAATGAAAGCAGCGTACTGGCGCAAGTGGATTTAATAATTCTTCAATGCAACAAGGGAATCTTTCTTCGCTATACTGTTATTATTAAAGGACCAGAAAAAAGGACAAACATATCCCTTCCCTCAATCTGAAAACATGCGAGGCGGTGTATTATCACCGCAGCAGACCGTGTTAAGACTCACAAGCCATTCCCAGTAGTATTAATTTAATTTCCACTCAAATGAGAAATCCCTCTGTCTTTGAAGGTGGTGGGAGTCATTTATCTAATTTGCTCTAGCTGTCTGAATTATGACTTGTATACAAGCGATAGGGTTTAGTGGCATGTGTGGTTGCTTTAATGTGACAGGAACTGAGAAGAAAACAGAGGACAGGCAGTAATTAGCACTTTGTTTTTTCTCCCCTTGTACGTCTTCTCATCTTACTTGAAAACATAAGTGAAGTCCAAGCCTCTCTCCCTCTCTGCATCCCACCTCCACCTTCAGGGACAGGTTTTTGTTAGTGATGCTGAACTTCTTAAACTTGCTAAAACAAACACCAATGGATTGAAACAAGCCTTGTTCTTCAGAGTACTGACTGACCTTCATGACACCTTAGTAAGAACTAGCTCTAAAGTCAGAGGTTAGCTGCAACAAAACATTCTGCAGCAGTGAAGGGGTTAAATTCTTTGTTTGGCAGTAGAGGCGGGTGGAGGGACCAAGTGCCCCTCCTCGAGGACTCCGGGCTTGAAATTGAGTTTGTTCCTGTTTCACAGCGTTCTGTTCATAACAGAAACACAAACCACCCATACCAGCCCTCCACACGTCCCCACACCACCACCACCTCCACCAATTTCTCTCTCGCCCTCTCTACCCTGTACTCCTCCACATCTTGGAGAGCACCAAATGAAAAAGCTGTCCACTGACTTGAGAGGTTGTTTTGGCCCGCTCAGAGAAACGCCACATATTTCCCAGGGCGGTGGTCAAGTTTGCTCCCCCATTACTTTTCCCTCCTCGCCCTGCGACTCAATCTAGCCAGTAGGTTAGCGGTGTGTGGACGCCTGCGGCCTGGCATTCATGTCGAGGTCAAAACAACCAGGCCCGCCAATGCTGTTGAAGCTCACACACACAAACTCACAATATCCGTCCCTATCAGTGGCCATGGCAGGCTGAAAAAGGGAGTGTATGTGTCTGAAGTCAGCATGGAAGAATTATGGGCTGTCTTGGAGGAAGTGGAGTTTGCCTGCAGCGCCTGCGGTGACTCCATACAGCCGACAACAACAGTGCCGCTTTTAAAAGAAATACACACACACACAGAAGGAGGAACTATAGAAGGAGAAAATGGCGAAGTAGAGCAGATGTTTAAAAACTAATTCCCCCCCCAAAAAAGACATGGCCATTAGTTTCAAAGGAAGAAGTGCAGCCATTATTCTATACACACATACACACATAGTATATGTATATACATACACATTGATAGAAGACAGCATGCAATCATAAATGTGCATTGTACCGTTTTTTTAGGAGGTGGGGGGGGGGAGTGAGATGCTGACAAACAAGCATTCAGCACCCTCACAAACATGTACAAACACACACACATGGACAACTGACACATACATGTACACATGCACACACAGACACACATTAACGGCACAGCTCTTAGGCCAGACAGAGACAATGACAGCTGTGTAATTATCTCATCAACACCTCCCTTCTCTAACAAGCCTCTCCTTCTCTTCTCTGTCTTCTTGCTGCCTCTAAAGCTCCTCATCAGCGCCGCCACCAGAGGAGAGGATAAAAGCCTTCAAAGAGATGAGAGGATCTCGACCAAAACACCAAACCTCTCTTTCTCTTATTTCCACACACACACACACACAAACACACAGACAACCATCTTTTTTCCTTTCTAGTTTTGCATTTTCTCCGTAGTCCTAACACCAACTCTCCACTCCTCAATTACCAGAGCATGTCCACATAAATTACTACCTCTCAAAAAAACAAGCCTTTGTTCATTCAAGGCAACAAACCAGTACAAAATGTAATTGTTTTTATCAACCCCCCTCCTCCTTTTTTCTGATCATGGCTCGTGATGGTCTAGGCAAGTGTGCTGAACTAAAGTAGACATGAAATGAAAGCTGGAATA